CTAAAAACACATTTTAAGATCTACAGTCAACCTATTACATACCTGAAATCAATGTATTTGTGGCACACTTTGAGGCAGTCATCTAGCAGACATCTTCCCTCTGTGCATGTATATTTATTACAATAATATTTCTGGATTACGGTAATACATTTTATATATTATTTTTTTTTTAAGGATTATGTAGCAGGATCTGTATACATTCTTTCAATTTCAGCCTAGTTATAGTTTTTGAGACTGAAAACAGTTTAAAGAATGAGGCTGGGTTCTCGACATATGTAATAAGATGTTCAAACCACAAGTTTACAAGTACATTTGTCTTCTAACACTGTGTAAAGAATACAACTGTATTTTAGCTCAATTTAGATAGCATAAATGCACACATACTGTTTGACTACAGAATAATTTGATCCTGTAAGCAGTCAATGTTATGTGCATGTGTTTTAACACTGTACACAATAACTTTGTTCCATTTATTTCAGTTGCAGAGTAACAGTTCTAGAGTGGTCTTACTAGTCCTGGAAGCTTCTGCATGGGATGTGTATGAAACACATGGGGTCACACCGACCTCAGCACTTGCTGACATCTCCTTCCTCCCCTACCGAATACGTAAATTGCACCTTGTACGTGGTCCAGAAGGATATGGGTTTCTGTTAAGGCAAGAAAAGTGCCCGAGTGGACAAGGTGAGAGAATGATAAGTTGGTTCCATCCAAAAAAAAAATAATTTTTGGTCAAAATAAAGTACAATGCAATATGACTGAATTACTTTATATGGAGAAAGAATTAAAATAACTGCTGTATGTGGTCTACATTGTTCCCACCAAAATATAGCCAGGAATGACTTGTTTTTAAAGAGTTTTGAGGTAAATTTGTGGGGTATTTTGGAGCACATTGATTCTATCTGTCCTTCTGTCAGGATAGTACAGAGTCCCAATATGCAAATAAGGAGCTGTTCACATGACCCATTATTGGTCCTTTATGATGGCCAGGCTTAACATAATATAGCATAAGAATGGTCAAAGGAGAAAGCCACGTTCAAGGAAATAGACTAGCGACATTATGCGTAAGCAAGCCAAGGTCAGGATAATGGAGGTCAGAATTGTCAAGCAAGCGAAATAAAAAAATAGAAAATCATAGAAATATACAGGATGCATTTTTGGGCTATCACAGACCAATATAGACCTCATCAGAACAATGCCAGAACATCCTAGAGGTGCGACACCGAAATGACTCCCTACTCTCATCATTCCGGCTATTAAGGAAGTATGAGTACCTCGTTCCTCATGAGTATAGATGCTAAAAAGATGCACAGCGTCATTATTCTGGGGAGTTTTGAGTAAAGACTTGGTTTTGACATGAGACCGGTATAACACTTTGTTGTAGCAAGGCTCAGAGTTAACCACATCAAAAGTGACACTGGAATGGCTTACTGCCTCTTTTTTTTTTTTTTTTTCTCTGTCCCTCTTTTGGTGTCCAATGATTCCCCTGGTGGCTTCTCCTATTCCTTATGAGTTGTCTCTCTGTCCAAATGAACCTCCACCTCCCTGTGATAATTCTCTATTCATCTAATGTCTTACCTTTTGGTATATACCTTTTTTAATGGTTTTCCATAGGTCAATTCCTCCGTGAGTTGGACCCAGGACTTCCTGCTGAGGTTGCTGGGATGCGTGAAGGAGACCGTTTGTTGGGAGTCAACGGTCAAAATGTAGAGGAATTAGAACATGAAGAAATTGTCAGTTTGATCCAGGATAGTGGAAAGCAAGTCACACTGGCTGTCATCAACAACGAGGGGGACAGGTTCTTCAGAGAGGTGAGAAGACATAGGATACATAAGGAAACATATATCTGAGACACCAATGTAGGGGGAAAACAAGAGGTTCAGGTGGTTGGACTTTAAAGCAAACTAAAGGCAAAAGGAATGAGAGTAAGACTAGAAAAAATAAGTTAGACATTAACAAGTCCAAGTGATGTAGCCACAATAATATATTCACCTTGAGAAAGGTATGAAGAAAAGCTGAAATTTGTCTGTGACCCTCCAAGTACAAATATTGCTCTATCTATAAGGTCACTCTCACTCTGACATTTGGCATTTTATTATTATTTTTAGACAGTTGAGTAGCTGTATTGATGTATTTTCATGGGTATTTAACTAAATATCATATATGCACAGCTATCCTCTTGAACAACCGCAGTTAGCTGATATATCTCAGCCACTTCATGATGGTCTTTGTCACATGTGCAGATCTGCAAACATGGGGAAGTTATACTTTTGCATAATGTACTGTCCTCAAAATATATTCAACAAGTCTCAGGGGACTTTAATAGGGTGTATATTATATTATTAAATCTGGAGATTAATTAAAGGTAATAACACAACCCCAGGTAGCTGGGAATTGTGGCTAAGGGTCTGCACATGATGCTCCCAATAACTACATGGATGTTGTACTATAAAAACATTTTACAATGCAACCTCAGTCTCCTGTTGATGATTAAGGATGAAACCAGCCATATACCCAAGTGGACTCAGACACGACATCCTCTAACCAAGGACATGCATCAAATGATGGCTTGAACGACATGCATTTTTGTGGAGGGCTCTATATATAAAATGGATACAGAGGTTAAAAATGACGGAGTCTAATTTGCATGTCCTAGCCCAGAATTTATAACTGCACAGTATATTCAATACAGTAAAAATCAGAGTGCAAATAGGTCTGCTGCTTAACATATCTAAATGTATACTTGTGTTAAAGGAACACTATAATGGCAATTGTTTTTTATTATTTAAAAATTTAGTAGATATACCTATGCATTTTTTGCATGTTTTCTTTGCATAGAAAACAGCTTGAAAAAGCTTCAGATCTTCTGTCTGCAGCCTTTGCAAGCCCTCCCATTTTTCCTCTGCAAATACATTCAGTATATGCCAGGGAATTGGCCAACTAGAAGCTTTTGAGAAGTCTCTGTGTAGAAGCTGAAGTGCTTTATGTGTCTGGACTGTCCCTAAAAGGAAAGGTTTTCTGTTTCTCTTTTGCCCATCGTTACATATACTGTCAATTTTTTCCATTGGCATATGTCAGTGCACCTTGCCTTGCTATTTCAATTCTCTAGGACATTTACATATTTTATTGTAGACCTTGAATTGCAATTGATTTCACTGGCATTTTTTTTTAAATCTGCCTCTTTTACTTTTAATTCTTGTTTTTTACTTTTTATCTTTGTTTATGAAACTTGGACCTCGATTTTTAATATTGTTGGATAAGCTTTTAAAAATGACTTCATATTTTTTGACACCCTTTAAAAATTAATATTTTAAAAAGTATTTAATGGTTTGTTTTTGATATAGTGAGATATATATATATATATATATATATATATATATATATATATATATATATATATATATAAAAATTATATATACAATATTCGTCCTTGCACAAAAGCTCAAAATATAATAAATTGCCGGGGGCCAGCCTGGGCTCAGGAGTATTCAAGTAACAACAGATTTTAGCTGCACTCACGGTCTGTAGTAAAGCTTCAATTCTTTATTAGATTTCCTTAAAAATAGATCAACGTTTCACTCCTCCTTGTGGACTCTCCTCAGGATCCTCTCCTGTTTGATCCTGAGTAGAGTCCACAAAGAGGACTGAAACGTTGATCTATTTTGAAGGAAATCTAATTAGGAATTGAAGTTTTACTACAGACCGTGAGTGCAGCTAAAATCTGTTAAAATTTTTTGGTACATTGATTGTTTGGAGAAAAGTTCACTTTTAGTGTGACTGAGCAGCATGTGTCTGTTGGGACAGATTCTGTTTATCTGAACAACTGCTGTTCAACCCAACTTGTCAGCTGCTGTGATTGCTTTGTGTGAACCTGCAGCAGGCAAGTTATGTTGGGCAACAGTTGATCACATTACAGTAGAATCTCTCACCCAACAAGGCTGCACTAAATTATGAGTATCCATACTGAGTAATGGAACATTTTTACAAGGCTCTTAACCCCTTTAAAGGGACACAATAGGCACCTAGACAACTTCATCTTAATGTAATGCGCTGGGTACCATGGCTCTCTTGTTTTAAACCCTGCAGTGTAAAACAATGGTGTTTTGCATGAACAGCCACGATTACATTGCAGGGTTGAAATGCCTCTAGCGCTTGTACAGAAAGAGTCAAATAAAACTCAGTTATATCAGTCACGCGGTCTGATAGAGACCATCTGATGCACACAGGGAGGTGCTTTGCCTCACATACATACTAGCCTACCAATGCTTTCCTATGGGAAATAATTGGATTGGTTAAGATCATCAAGTGTAGGAAAAAAGGTATTTTTGTTTGTTTGTTTGTTTTTTGACATTCTTTAATTTTGTAGTGCAGATTTTTAGAGGTTTTAAAAGAAATATAGCAAACAGTGAATTTCAGTTTAAAAGCTAAAATTTGGAATGCCGGGATTACAACTTTTATAGTAGTCACAGAATCCAAAACCACTACACAAAGTATATATTTGTAGAAAGTGCATTGCCCTGGCTACCCCAAATGTATACCTTTTTCCCTAATGCAATGCCCTTTTTGGATTGCAAAAAAAGTCACATTTGAAAATATAATAATTTTTTATTGTTTTATTGGAACACTGTTAACAATAGGAGGAGGATAAGGGAAAAACAAAAGCAATGCTTGTTTTATGGATCGCAAGTGTAGCATGGTTTATATACTGTCAACTTCACACGTGACGGAAGTGATATCCCAAAGAAACAGAGAAGGGATTATTATGTCCATCGTGATATTAATTTATATATACCTTACAAATCTCAGTACTCTTTCCTCTGTTTCAAATAGATTGGTATATCCCCTTTGCTGTTCTATGAAGAAGATGGTCCTGATAATAATGGTGTGACCAAGTCATCTGCTGATGTGCCACCGGCAACCTTGTCAACTCAGGTGAGGTTATTCATGAAGCCCAATGCACGTGAATAGTTGGTGATTAAATATATTAAAATTCAGCCATTTATATTCTATAGAAACAAAATAATATGGCGAATGCGAAGGCTGAAAATGTTCTTTCACCAATAGCCATTGGCAAGTGAAAATTCATTCCTGGCAAGTAGAAATTCACTTCTAGTGAGTGTGTGTCATGGGCTTTCCAGGTTGCATTGGTAATTCTGAGGTCAGCACCATGTATTGTATTGTATTTAATTTCACAAGTAAAAATTATAACGCATTAGCAAAACATTTTAATACATTTTAATTCAGTTCAAAGGAAACCATCCCCTATAGCTCACGGCAAATCTGATAGAACCAGTGGTTACTGGAAACCTGAACATCTCTGTTCCATAAATTACAAGATTTATAATTGTGTGAACGCCATTCAGCATAGATTCATACTCATCACTTGAAACAAGTTGGCATTCCTGTATTGTGAAGACACTCATATTTTTTTTAAATTCTCCGAAGTAACTATGCATTAATGTCTCATGTTCAATTATTTTCTTCCTACAGCTAAAAGCAGACACTGTACAAGGAGAGGAACCTGAAGTCCAGAAACCTTCTACCGAAGTGCAAAATAGTGAAGAATGAGAGGAACATTTCCCCAAACAACCATGTGACCATGATCTAGCGTTTGCTAATCAGTCAGAACTGTTGCCACATTGGCAATAATCTCAGCTGAGACACCGTGATCATCTTTTTCCTTTACACAAATCCTCCTCCTCTTTTACCATTGATTCTTTACATATCTGGGATCCTTAAGAGGATACATTTTATAGAAGGGAAAAAAAAACCCACTGCACGTAGAACATATACACAATGATGTATTTAGATACAGACACAAATGCACATGTACCAATAAATAGGAAAAACATACTAATTTATTGACAGGATGTCGTTAATGCATTAAAACACATACATTTTCTAATCAACCTACATATTGAAATACTTCAAATTATAATTTAACACTCAAAGCTTGGAAGAAACTGATTTACATTTATCATTATGGTAATTTATCATTAATACCGCATTCACCTGACTTGCCATACCTCTTGTTAAGCTACATAAGCCATGTATTTCTGGTAATGTGTCATTTATAAGCTCTCTATAACTTAGTTCATTCATTGGAAAAATTCCTATGGGATGCATTTCATTATTGATTTGAATTCACTTTTATTCAGAAACATGTGATTTGTACAGATTATCAGGCAGCACTTTTTAATGATACTTTATCCCTTTGGTTTAAATAAATAAAGCCTGAACTGACAAATAATATTGCATATCTCATATGTGGTAAATTAGATACTTTTATGGCTTCAAGCACAGCTAGAATACCCTAAAGATCAGTTTAGGACTCTGATAAAAATGACAATTATAATTATCAGTAGATCAGTCATTTATAATTGCACTCATGTTGATTCTTAAAGGGAAACTACAGTGCCAGAAAAACAATCCATTTTCCTGGCACTGCAGGTCCCCTCTCCCTCCCACCCCCCAATCCCCGGTTGTTGAAGGGGTGAAAACCCCTTCAGTAACTTACCAGAGGCAGCGACGATGTCCCACGTTGCTGCTTCTTCCTCCGCGCCACTCCTCCTCTGTATTACGTCGGCCAGTGGGACTGATCCCGCCCACCGGCCGGGGAGACCTATTGCGCATGCAAGGCAATGCCGCGCATGCACATTAGAGCTCCCCATAGGAAAGCATTAAAAAAATGCTTTTGAATGCTTTCCTATGGGGAATTTAGCAACGCTCTAGCACAGTGTTAGAAACCAGGAAGTGCCCTCTAGTGGCTGTCTAGTAGAAACAGCCACTAGAGGTGGAGTTAACCCTGCAAGGTAATTATTGCAGTTTATAAAAACTGCAATAATTACACTTGCAGGGTTAAGAGTAGTGGGAGTTGGCACCCAGACCACTCCAATGGGCAGAAGTGGTCTGGGTGCCTGGAGTGTCCCTTTAAATTTTGCACCTTTGTACATATTGGAGATTTTCGTAAGAGATACCGATCATACCTGTTGGTCTCCTTTATAGATACCCCTCACATCTACCAAATAATGGACAGTTTACTTTATTAATTTAATATACATGATAACACTATCACTTATTGCATTATTTCATCATTCAGATGTCCAGAGGGTTGAGGCCACAGTCAAGAAGCATCTCTTTGTGTTGCTGATGGATGGAAAGGGCTTGCTTTGTCCACTGCAGATCAGCTGTATTAAGCTTAGAGAGCAGCTGATCAAGACAGGACTGTTATGAGTAAAGAGAAAGTTAAGAAAGAACATGAATTTGTGAGCGCAATGTCAGATATTGCAAATGGAAGAAGTAAAACAACAAGCTAACCAGGGAATAATTAACTACCAAACCAATATTTTACAGCCATCATGTGGCTTACTAAAGCTGGAAAATGGGACCCAGTGGCGTAGCTAGGGGGGCAAAGGGGTCAGTTCGCCTCAGGGGGCACTTTTGTGGGAGTGCTGCGAGGAGCAGCTAATGGCCTGTTACAGGAGGCCCCAGGAGTTGGCCAACTGGTCACTTATTTACTAAAACAGAGTAGGCACCTGCTTCCCTAGGCAGCAGATGTCTATTCTGCTAAAATATACCGGGGGAGAGAGGGAAGGCGCCGATATTCTTCTAGTTCCTCACTGGACTCCAGGGAGAAGATCCCCACTGGATGCCAGGAAGAGGACCCACACCAGCTCTCCCAAAGGTAGGAAGGCTGGAAGGGAAGGAAAATAAAGTCACAAGAAATAAAAATGAGAAATTTTTATTTTTATTATTGTGTGTGACAGACTGTGTAAATGTGTGAGTGTGCCTGTCACTGTGTGTAGGAGAAAATGCATGCAGAGGTTGTCACAGTGTGGGACAGCTAAGTGGCATCCCAACTCTAACCCTCCTATATATGTGCCCTGGCACACTTAATGTCTAAGACACATTTGTGAAGTTGGGGGGGAGGTGTTGCCCAAATATTGTTTCCTTAAAATAAAAATGATTGTAATATGTTTATATTCCGAACACTATAGTGTCAGGAATACAAACACATATTTCTAACACTATGGTGCTGTTGTAGCTGTTTAGGCCCCTAGTCCCACTCAGATCGCTCTGAAAGGGTGGTCTTGTTTTTACTCATGTTTTGTCCCATGCTGTAGCTGAAGTTGGCTCCAACTCAATCGATATGAACTAAGCCAATCCACAGGAAAGCAGTTGCAGGCTAATGCAAAAAGGCACAACAAAATGCTGTGCCTATTAACATCTCCTTGTAGAGATGCACTGAATCAATGCATCTCTATGGCGAGGTTCAGCGACTCCATACAGAGTGTGGAGACACTGAACACCAGTGCTGCATACTGTGCAACACTGACACAGGAAGTGGCCACCTGAGTGAATACCACCAGAGATGTTACTAGGTTGCAATGAAAACACTGCCTTAAACCTGAAAAGGATGCTTTTACATTGAAAAGCCTGCAGGGACAAGCTATAGACATTAGAACCACCAAATTAAACTAGTTTTTCTGTTTTTATGGGACCATAGTGTCCCTTGAATATTCACCATTATTTAGTTGGCGTATAATGCTTTTGCAGTCTTCATATTACCATGAAAATAAGAAACAGAATATAATTCTTAAAGGCACATGCAATAAATAATAATGAAAAGTAACTGCACAATTAAATAAAACAAATCCACATTTTGTGGCATCTGCCATGCAGTAGATTGTGGAAAATACTCTTGCTGAGTCTTATTTGATTTTAATTTTAATAATCAAAAATCAGGCTGAAATTCCATTACATCTAATTTATTCTCATCTTAACTTCATTTGAATGAAAAATTGCAAAAAAATAGATTTTGTCTCATCCACAGCTCAACACTGTGTCACCGAAGCCTATTTCATGTTGGTTCATGACGGTTTCAACTTTAAATTAATGAGTGAAACACAGTTTCAACAGAAATACCGGAGGTTTCCAGTGTATGCATTTACAAGCAGTATGCAAAGATTCTCGATACAACTCAGAAGATTACTTACATGCAGCAAAGTCTCATATTCTTTCTCCATATTCTCCACCTCAGTCCGTAGGTCTGTGATCTCCACCTCTTTCTCTGCTGCTTTACGTGCAGATTCCTCCTGAAACGTTCGCAGTTCATTCTGGGATTTAGCTAGATATGTGTAAGAAACAAAAAGAGAAGATGACATTTTATGTGTATAACATGAATATATACACATGTAAAACTTTCATCTGACCGATGAGGTTGTTTTGTTAAAATGCAAAAAGCTGGAATGTTCAGCATTTTCTCATTTCACTTTAGTCACTAAGTCAGGAACATATCAAGTGCCTCTTATTCACTTCTCTCTATTAATATAAAATATATGCAAATGAATGGAGGAGACACAACTGCTTGATGTTTGACCAAGTGCAAGTCGAAACATAGATACTTTGTTCTTAACAATGTTCTAAAAGCTACAAGTCCTTCAAGCAGCTTGCCCTCTCCATTTTTTGTAGATACAGGGTGACTATAAGTATTAGGTTAGCCTTGGAATTGCAGGCACCTGCCAAACATGATGGGAGATTATGTGAGCCACGAGTACCGTTTCAAAGTGGGTGAAAAGACGGACGTTTAATTTGTTGACTTGTGTATTTCAAGCATGTTCCTTTGGTACACCACTTCCTCTATGTGCAATAATCAGCAAGTCTGCCATTTCTAACTCAATATCTAACAGTTACTGGAGATCACATGTTCGCTGTATATATACATTTACACAGATGCTGTTCAATTTGTATGAGCAATAACAATCTTTTTGTATCCGCTCTGTAGGTTTAAAGCCATGGCTTGCTTTATGCGGTTTGTTAATGTTCAATGCAGCTGCAGCATATTTTGAATTTGTTATTCACAGCCAAGACCCGCTGTAGAGCAGGTTAGTTAATAAAAAGCCATATTTAGCAAAAACTAAAACCACCAAGTAATACAGTAGTTCAGATTTGTTGATATATGAAAAATCTCCAAACTCACCAAGTTTCAATTTCAGTTCTGCAACCTCTTCTTCCAGAGACTGGATGCGTTCTGAGCTTTCCAGCTCCAAGTTACGTTGCTTACGCGTCATTTCTAAGGGTAACAAAGGGAGACAATGTTTTCACTTGAAGTCTGTCATTCTGCATATCCTGCATACCTTATGTCAAAGTTGTGAATGAAAATATGTTGTTCAGAGCTTTAATATGTTGTTCAGAGCTTTATTACTGCCTTTTTTATTGCACTTTCTTTTAAGAATAACATTTTGAATGCAGTTAACTGGTGATCTGAGGCAAGTGGACTTCATTCTAAAGGAGATATGTGTCTAAATGGATGGATCAGGGCCTAAATGGACTGAACCCACTTTCAACACACAATGGCATACACCGAGCTTCATCGGACGTTAAAGAAATACTCTAAGCACCAAAACAACGTTCAATTAATTAAGTCATTTCTGTGTATAGACCATGCTTAAAAGTAAATTTGCTCAATTCCATTAAAGAGTAAAATTATTTTTGTTTCTGTTTATGAAGTCCAAGCCTCACCTCCCATGACTGTCACAACCCCACTATGAATTTTTTTATTTAAATTTTCAATCAGATCTTACAGCATAGCGTGTTTACTTCAGAAGTTTGTATCTCCTGCTCTATTAATTGAACTTTAATCACACACAGGAGGCTCTTACAGCCTATCAACCTGGCGGGAGATAGGAAATTATAAATTAAATACACTGTGCAATAAAGGAAGCTAAAATCTTTAGACACAAGAAGTGTGTAGGGAGCCTGTGTGAGTTGTGGTGACATTCTGTGGTGATACACCACATGAGTTACAGCTAGTGATAGTGTGGCTAGGCCTGTCTACGAAAGTGATCTAACTCCTAAATGGCACAGAATTGATCAGTGAACCACTTAATTTAACTAAAGTAGTTTTGGTACTTAGAGTGTCCCTTTCAAGCACACTTTAATGCTTATCTTGTGTTGGTTTGGGAGAACCTAAAATACAGACCACACAGCAGTGACAAACGGAGACATGCCAGTCCTCCACAATAACCATTCTACACTAAACACCCAAAACAGGAGAACAGCAATCACATTCTTAGCTGATCACAAACTGACAAGATCTGGATGCAGCAGAACTGGCAAGATCTAGAAGGAGATTAATGCATCAGAAAAGCAATCTGTACAAATGCACTACTGTTCTATTATGTTTATAATCAAGCTAAACATTGTGTTTTTAAAATAAATATTACACTAGGATTTTTAATTTTATTTTAAACAAGAAGTGCATGGTAATAAAGATAGTTACAAGAATGCATAACTAGGATAGAGATTATAATTTGTGTGCCCAAAACCATCAAATGTGCCAAAGAAACTGATACGATGATCAGCCAAAGTCAGATATGTCATGTTGGACATCATGAATCGTATATGTGGAACTGCAATCACTCCCACAAATCTGAGCCAGGGTTCTTGCTGAGCCGGAATCAAACACCAGATTTCCAAACATTAGTAAAATAATAGGGGTCCGGGCAATCCTGGTTCAAGTAAGGCACTTTATTGAGAACCACAACAGCAACGTTTCGACCCCAGAAGGTCTTTGTCAAGCTTGACATGTGATTCTCAATAAAGTGCCTGTCTTGAACCAAGGAGTGTCTGGACCCCTATTATTTTACTAATGTTGGACATCATGGGAATTGCTGTAAATAAACCATTGCCTACTGTACAGAACAAGAAGAGCAGACACACATGGCACAAATAATTTGGGAATTAGCACATCTCTAGCAATGCTACTAAGTTATCCAGAAATTGTAATTACTTGACCTGTGAATTTTAAATATAAAGTTTAACTAGACAAGATGAAAATATAGCTGAGTTGGATACTATTTTAAATTCAGCAATTTAGGCCTTGTTTTTTTAATCCCCACCCCGGATTAGAGTAAAAAACTTATTTATGATGACTATCTCAGTCTTGTTTGAATATTGCATTTTTGAATGTATGTAATTTATGATTATCAACAACTACATAATACAAAACCAAGTGGTTGATGACAAGTATATTTACAAGTAAAAGAGCATATAATTACATAAAATATGTAAGTCTTTTAACAACTCACTTCACTAAACTATGAACTGTACCAGATTGAATTAGGAATTGTAAATCGTAGGCTAAAATAGAGGATTTAGAAAAATTCTCTAAGTATGTTTCAGTCATACCTTGGCTATTTTAGCCTGAATGTTGCAATTCGAAGTTCAGCACAATACATTTTAGAGATTATTGAATTACCGCTGTATATAGCCTGTTTCTCATCTCTCTCCCCTTCAATGTCACTTTGCAGCACCTGTAATTTCTCTTGCAATTCCTCTTTGAGTTCTTGAGCCCGCCGGGTCACATGTCTGCGCAGAGCTGTCAATGGGAAAAAATAGGATCTCACACACAATGTGTATCATAAAAAAAAAAAAGTAAACAAGGGTATTCAGTGAAGTTTGAAATGTCAGTAATTCAAATTGATTTAAAAATTTTAGACTGAATTAACAAATGGAAAAATAGAAGCGAAGATTTTTGGGGTTATTTGAGTTTCGATATTTGGGCCTAAAATATGAAGCTCACATTTAATTTCCAGCAATTTACACTTGTGTGATTCATTCTGATAGTGATGTGGTACAGAACCGTGTACTGCAGTGACAGACACTTAAATGTGAAAAAAAAACTAAAAATAGGGCAACTTATATGCAATATTAGCCAAAATATTTGCTATGTATTATACAGGAAAAATTCCTGTATAATTCTTTGGCTTGGGGACCTCTACTCAAAAGAGGGACTCAATCACTAGTCTCCTATGGTAACATTGGACCTTGGGACTTCAATCATTGTTAGTGTTCAGTGGAAAGGAGGCATTGTGCTTGGCCTGTGCTTCCTTGTAATAATTAGTAGATAAACAGACAGGCAGACATCTATGGCTTAGTGCTTTTCTTTTGATATGGTTTGTAATATACTCGTCGATGCACCGTTGAACACCAATTGAGGAAAAAAATATAATTACTGCGTACTAATTTTGATATTTACATTTTGTGTGCTAATCTCACCCAGGGAGTAATTAGACGGATACAAATACAACTTTAACTGACAAAATGAAGCTTACTTTGTCAGAAAATATCCATACCCCCAAAGCTAGGATAAAGAACTACAACACAGCAGAATATGTTACGTCATAGTTCTTAATGACTACTTAAATTCGCACACCATGTTACATCTATATGGACATGAAAGGGTTTTCTACAGTCCTGCGATTTATAGTTGTCTTTGGACACACATAATGGGATGTCAGTCTTGGACCGGCATTTGCAGTTTTCAGTAATATCACACTGTTGCATATAATCACATTTTAAATTATTCGCACATTATGCAACATGAAATACTGACCAAGACCGGGCAACGTCACCAGCGGTCTCACTCCCACTTACCCAAATGATCCTGCAAAACATCCACTTCCAAAGCTGCTCTACGGTACTGTTCCTCAATTGAACCTAAAGAAAGTAGTGAAGAGCTGTATTAATTGATATCCATAACAGCTATGCAGAAGCCCACTAAAAAACATATATCCACCAATACCTGATCCATCCTTTTGCTTTTTTGTCTTCTTTTTCTTTTGAGTTTTTCCCTTTAGCTTAGGTGGCATTTCTAAAAGAGAGACACAAAGAATTAATAAGATAACAATATAATAAACCGTTTAATAACGAATGGTAAATTATTTGAGACACCTTTACAATTGCACACATACTAATCTAACAGCCACGCAATGTTTTTTTCAATTATTTTTTTTATTTCATAGGGCTTTAGGGTATTTACGTTTATTGTTAAACCGTCTTTAATTATTATTTTAGCCAATAACTCTATTTGCCATTCTTCCCAGCACTGGATGACAGAGCAACATTCATAGACCCTTACACAGCAATTCCTATACACACAGCACCTGTGTATGTTGAAAACTTTCACATTTAAAACCTTGCTATGTATCTGGGAAGAAATCACAAGTCAACTTTTTTATCAGGGGAAAATGAAATGTGATTTGTACTCTGTGAACAAGAAAGTGTTGTTATATAATGAGATATGGTTCCCTTGGTTTATTTAACTCATCAATGAAGAACCCCCAACGGGATAGTGCTTGAGTATTTTGATACTTTTTAGATCTCAGACCTCCAAATCTTTCTTTTTTTTTTTCTTAGTTCTGTATGGAAATATAAGTGTATTTTGTATGAATATACACAAAAAAGTATGAATAAGTGATATTAACCATATATAACCGATGGCAGAGCACTAATAATGTGATAATATAGATCAGAGGTTAATAAACTTACCCTTTAATTTTTAGCCTTTTGTAAAAATTAGAAAACATATATAGTGCAAATTGTACCATATAGTGACAAAAAACAATCAATAATGTGAAAAAAGTACATTCATATCAACCTGAGCCTTACGTCTATGGTTCAGTATTGTCGCCTTAGTGCTCTTTAAGGTAGCACTCTAACTCTCTTCCAGGATAATGTACCCTTAAAGGGACACTATAGGCATCTGGACCACTTCAGCTCATTAAAGTGGTCTGGATTATTGCACTTAGTACTGAAATGTTAAACATTGCAGTTCTGCAGTATCCCTTTACTTACGGGGGGTGCGGGGTAGAGGGAGCTATAGTGCCAGGAATACAGCTTTGTATTCCTGACACTTGTAGTAGTATCCCTTTAATGATAGGAAAATAGAGAAAACACGATAGTGTAATATTGGCATACAGAGTGAATGTTGAACCAAGGTGATGTAATGCCACTCACATGACTCTGAGCCCTAGACTGGGTGTCTCTGCAAGAATATGCTGCTATATTTATTATTTATGAATGTGTGTGAATAAATTGTCTTGTTTTTTACTGAGACACCTGTCTGGTGTATGCTGACTAGAAACCTTTTTTTTTTTTTTTTTTTTAATTAAATCACTTAAACTGACCTTTACATGTATATTTTTGTCATATAAACTAATAAGACTTGTTATGTATCACCAGCACTATACTTGACCCGCTGTCTGTTTTTGGATGGCTCAGGGTGTTAGGCATTGATGGTAGGCAGTTCCAGCCAATGGGTGGTATGGAGGGACCAGAAGGGGGACATACTAGTAACTAGACAATAAACAAAACGAGGGATCAGAGAGAGATGTGAGAAAGACTCCAAAGATTGAGACACATATCAAACCCTTGAGCTGTGTTCTTATAGCAGTTACAGTAAACTCGAAAGGGTTTTAGAGGGTTTAAATGCCCACTGCCTGTAATTTACCCATAGAGAGAATGGGGGCACAATCACTCACACCTTCGCTCTACAGCGACATCTAGTGACGGATTATATAAATACATATATAAAATATATAGCAATCCAGCAGCAGCTGTAACCCTGATATCATGCTCCCGCGTCCCACCTGTATTGTAACCGAATCAGTCCTGCTATAGAACACCGGCGGAATGTCTCCGTCTCCCCAAGCTGTGCTAAGTCCAGTGACAAGGCTCGTGTCCAATGGGATCAGAATACGAGATCCCGCCCCTCACTCTGTGTCCAATCAGCGCAAGGGATGAATGTGTTTACAAGTCGCCTGGATGCGGCCATGGCAACGCTCAAGCTTCAGCTTGCAGCCAAAGGAAAACCATTTCAAGTTAATATCAGAATTCCATTATTATTTTCGACCTTTACCATTACCTCGCACATGCAATCACAGTCATTTTATTGTAAATCACCTACATTTGTACAGTGGATTCCCTTTTGTATGCAGAGTCAATAAAACAATATAAAGAAAGAGATAGAGAGTCAAAAACAAACATATGACATACTCTTAAAGGACCACTATAGGCACCCAGACCACTTCAGCTTAATGAAATCAGTCCTATAGAGTATTCAAAAATATAATCCCGTCACCAATACTGCTGCTAACGCAATGCATAATTACCAATAAAAAAATTTAAAAATACAAAACAAAAAAACATTGTAGGAATTTCCAATTGTCACAAAAAGGAAAACTAATCATTCTTGACTCCATAAAGGCAATCAGATTCATCTTTGAACCACCAGTAGGTTAATTTACATATTATTAATATATCCTTGAATATTCTGTTTTTACAAAAAACACATTGAGTAATTTTTTTAATTATCTATAGGATCTGATAAAACACCTTCTTTAGATAGAGAAATCCACATCTCCATTGTTCTTACTGTAAAGAACCCTTTACTCTGCTGTAAGCCTTTCTTCTAGTCTCAATGGGTGACCTTTGGTCTGTTGTATATTCCTGCTAATGTACATTGTAGAACCTAGCGGTTTGTACTGACCCTGTGTATATATGTACACACACACACACACACACACACATATATATATATATATATATTATATATATATATATATATATATATATATATATATATATATATATAATACAAGTATAATGGCACTCACCCTTACTGATGATACAATAGTTAATTCAATGCCCTGGTGCACTCCCACGCTGAAGTTATATACAATATATACAAAGAAAGGATGCACTCTCTTCGTAGAAAAGTATTTATTCCATCAAAATATATTGTGTGATCGATGTTTCGACCCATTCGGGTTTTCATCAAGATCTTGAGGAAGACCGAATGGGTCGAAACGTCGACCACACAATTGTATACCTTTTGATGGAATAAATACTTTTCTACTTTTTGAAGACCGGAGAGTGCATCCTTTCTTTGTATATATATATATATATATATATATATATATATATATATATATATTGCTCAAAAAAATAAAGGGAACACTTAAACAACACAATGTAACTCCAAGTCAATTACACTTCTTTGAAATCAAACTGTCCACTTAGGAAGCAACACTGAGTGACAATCAATTTCACATGCTGTTGTGCTAATGGGATAGACAACAGGTGGAAATTATAGGCAATTAGCAAGATACCCGCAATAAAGGAGTGGTTTTGCAGGTGGTGACCACAGACCACTTCTCAGTTCCTATGCTTCCTGGCTGATGTTTTGGTCACTTTTGAATGCTGGTGGTGCTTTCACTCTAGTGGTAGCATGAGACGGAGTCTACAATCCACACAAGTGGCTCAGGTAGTGCAGCTCATCCAGGATGACACATCAATGCGAGCTGTGGCAAGAAGGTTTGCTGTGTCTGTCAGCGTAGTGTCCAGACCATGGAGGCGCTACCAGGAGACAGGCCAGTACATCAGGAGACGTGGAGGAGGCCGTAGGAGGGCAACAACCCAGCAGCAGGACCGCTACCTCCACCTTTGTGCAAGGAGGAACAGGAGGAGCACTGCCAGAGCCCTGCAAAATGACCTCCAGCAGGCCACAAATGTGCATGTGTCTGCTCAACCGGTCAGAAACAGACTCCATGAGGGTGGTATGAGGGACCGACGTCCACAGGTGGGGGTTGTGCTTACAGCCCAACACCGTGCAGGACGTTTGGCATTTGCCAGAGAACACCAAGATTGGCAAATTCGCCACTGGCGCCCTGTGCTCCTCACAGATCAAAGCATGTTCACACTGAGCACATGTGACAGACGTGACAGAGTCTGGAGACGCCGTGGAGAACGTTCTGCTGCCTGCAACATCCTGCAGCATGACCGGTTTGGCAGTGGGTCAGTAATCATGTGGGGTGGCATTTCTGTGGGGGGTTGCACAGCCCTCCATGTGCTCAGCAGGGGTAGCCTGACTGCCATTAGGTACCGAGATGAGATCCTCAGACCCCTTGTGATACCATATGCTGTTGCGGTTGGCCCTATGTTCCTCCTAATGCAAGACAATGCTAGACCTCATGTGGCTGGAGTGTGTCAGCAGTTCCTGCAAGACAAAGGCATTGATGCTATGGACTGGCCCGTCCGTTCCCCAGACCTGAATCCAATTGAGCACATCTGGGACATCATGTCTCGCTCCATCCACCAACGTCACATTGCACCACAGACTGTCCAGGATTTGGCAGATGCTTTAGTCCAGGTCTGGGAGGAGATCCTTCAGGAGACCATCCGCCACCTCATCAGGAGCATGCACAGGCATTGTAGGGAGGTCATACAGGCACGTGGAGGCCACACACACTATTGAGCCTCATTTTGACTTGTTTTAAGGATATTACATCAAAGTTGGATCAGCCTGTAGTGTGTTTTTCCACTTTAATTTTGAGTGTGACTCCAAATCCAGACCTCCATGGGTTGAAAAATTTGATTTCCATTTTTTTATTTTTTGTGTGATTTTGTTGTCAGCACATTCAACTATGTAAAAAACAAAGTATTTGAGAAGAATATTTAATTCATTCAGATCTAGGATGTGTTATTTACGTGTTCCCTTTATTTTTTTGAGCAGTGTATATATTATTATTATTATTATTTGGTCCATTATTTTCATTTTGTGCATTTTTTCATTTATTTTTGTATTTTTTATATATTTTTTTTGTTTATTTACCAGACAGCCACTAGAGGGCTTCCTGGTTTGACACGGACCTTTGGTCTGGTATCTGACAATGGACCTCCAGCATTAGATTTTTCCCCATAGCAAAGTATTGATTTAATGCTTTCTTAGGGGGAGGTCTAATGCGAGCGCGGTATTTGCTGCGCATGTACATTAGAGCCTGCTCATCACGGGACGGAGGAGGGGGCAGAGCTTTGATCCAGTGCCGAGGGACATCGCTGCTGGGATAAGGTAAATAACTAAAGGATTTTTAACCCTTTATTTACTGGGCTAGGGGACACAAGGGAGGGGGGAGTCAGGGAAAGCAATAGTGCCATATTTGTATTCCTGGCGCTATAGTATCTCTTTAACTCCTAAATGGCAGAGAATTGAGCAGTGAGACTGCAGAGACATGAGCTATACAAAATAACTGCTTCATAAAGCTAAAGTTGTTTTCATGCCTATAGTGTCCCTTTAAGTATGTAATTAAGAAGACAATATGTTTTAATTCTCTTGTTGGTTGGCTTTATAAATAATGGAGTGATCCTGATAAGACCTGTATGTCCAAAGACTATTGTTTTCTACCATTGAGAAGCCTCTTGCTGGAACATTTTACAATGTACATCATGAAGCAGACTGCCTAGCCCTAGAGGAAGTTTTGAATGGGTTGCAAAATAAGAATTAGTTTACTGGCAATCCCCATTCTGTTATTGCAATGGATTCAGTTCCTCAAGTTAGTTCATCTTTACATATATTATTCGTGACGCATTAACGGCCTATGACAATGATAACCATGTAAACGTGAGTGTAAAGACTCGATTTAAGACACAGCCAACCACTCGTCTTCATGTTAAGAATTTCAACAGAAATGTGGTTAATACAGCATTTATAGAGCTGTCTTTTTCGAGTTAAAACCACAATTCTTAACCCAATTTGCACATTGAGAGCATTACAGTTGTGGTTAAAATATATCTGCAGAAGTAGACATTGTTTTTCTCACTGATTTTTGTTATTAGCGCAGACACAATGTAAAACGTGTAAAATTGTTATATCCTACAAAGAATCATGATTAGAAAAAACACCTTTTTACTCCTTCAGGCAAATTAATTAGATGAGGACGGGGGGGGGGTTAGGAAGTCTTTAGATTCGAATTGTAAATGATATTAGGCAGTTCATCATTTCGGAGGAGTGTCTTGAAGAATCATTACATCAAAGCGTACGCAAGCAGGTTAGAGGGGTATAAAGGGCATATGCTTACAGCCAGGGCCGGATTAAGAGCACAGTGGGCCTGGTGCTGACAATTATGATGGGCCTAATTACGGAATCTTATCTACCAAAAACACTAAAACAATCATACCTCCCAAGCGTCAAGTATCTGATGGAGATGGTGCTGGAGGGAAACTCATAGGAGGCAGCTATAAGAAAACACATACTCTATGCTAATCCCTCTCTAATTTATGCTTTCATCTTTCAAGTAAATCCATAACCCCTAACAGCAGTGTCCAGTGAGGCAGGAAGTCAATGGGCGGGGTAAAATAGTGTGCCACTGGCGCCAATCACATGACAAGACCTGCCAAAAGGGGTGAACATGCCCAAAAAGGGGCATGTTTGTCCAAAGAATTGGAAGGTCAGCCTGGCATGAATGCATGTCAGGCTGCCTGCCAATCCTGCAGGCTGTCCAACTAAGGGCATACTATGCAGGCAGCACCTTGAGCTTGACATAAATGCGTCTAATGATGCGCTCACTCCATTCTTTCTAAGGACTGTCCCCTAGCACTCGCTGGTCCACTTGTCTCCTTACCTTCTTACTAGCAGGCAGAAGTTCCTGGTATATAGTCTGAGACAGAGAAAAGATGTCTGTAGTGAGTGTAGAAGAAAGGGGACATGCCACAGTGTTAGAGAGACCAACGTCTGCATTACCTAAACTAACTTTAATTTCAGCAAGTGCACACAAGTTTTGTTCCCATACATCCCTCTTAATCTTCCAAACTTAAAGGGACACTATAGTCACCAGAACAACTACAGCTTATTGTATTTGTTCTGGTAAGTAGAATCATTCCATTCAGGCTTTTTGCAGTAAACACTGTCTTTTCAGAGAAAATAAC